TACGTATAATGTATTCCAATTTTTATCATGTGCGGAATGATTCCTTTATAAAATTACCATAGATAAACCTTTACAAAATATGACAAAAAATGTTAATAGAGAATTAGGCAGACTAAGCAGGTCCATTGGTACACATGAGCTCGGAACGTACTTGACATGTCACGGCGCAGGATACGAATAAGTACGACCGTGAATGAAGGAAATTATATAATTTTATTAATAATTGTAATACAATAAATAAAAGCTGAAATATATACTGTCCGTTGATTATACATTGTTGATGTTACATATTTTTTTTTAAAGAACTATGCCTTTTTTTATTTCACGAATAGCATATATACTTGCAGGAGGGTAAAATAAGATACCTGTTAAAGTTTGAGCCCTTAATATTAATTAATATTAACAGGTCGCTTATCGCAATTTTTTATTTTTCATTTAGTAAGATAGAAAAAATTTTATAACTATGTAACAAACAGTAATACAGCATTGTTTCACATAGATTTTTGTAGTAAATTTATCGTTTTACAAAAAAGATCTCTTATCACTTTTTCATAAATTCAACCGTTCAAAATATATTCAAAGTTAAAGTTTGATAAACTTTATAATATCGACTATCAAAAATTATGAAATAATCAATACATATTTTTGTAGAAAATTTAACGATCTACAAAAAAGGTCTCTTATATTTTTTTCATAAATATAATCATTTAGACGATATTAAGGTTTAAAGTTTAAAGTTCAGTGTATAAAAATTATTCTTTTTTTTTATATTATAACAAAATTCTGAGCTTTATTTATTTACTATGAAAAAAAAGTAATTTTTATACACTTTGAACTTTAAACCTTAATATCGTCTAAATGGTTTTATTTATGAAAAAAATATAAGACCTTTTTTGTACATCGTTAAATTTTCTACAAAAATATGTATTGATTATTTCATAATTTTTGATAGTTGATATGATACAAAATTCATAAGAAGCAAAAACAAGTTTTATATTTATCAAACTTTAACTTTGAATATCTTTTGAACGATTTTTATGAAAAAATGATAAGAAATATTTTTTGTAGAGCGGTAAATTTACTACAAAAATCTATGTAGAGCAATGCTGTATTACTGTTTGTTAGATAGTTATAAAATTTTTTCTATTTTACTAAATAAAAAATAAAAAATTGCGATAAGTGACCTGTTAATATTATTTTCTAATTTACTTAAATAGAAATCTTCTTCCTGACCGATAAGCCTATCGACCAGTGTCGAAAAAGTGAAAGTTACATTTCTCTGATATATATATGTCGTATATATTGAGAGACGTCGACGTTAGTAGAAATATCTTTTACATTTCAACTTTGCGTCGCAATATTTCCGCTCGTAGGGCACGTAGCGGAAAAATAAAAACACGGCCTTTGGCCAACTCGAACGTGAGTACCCCATATGTACAAGAGTAAAGTACCAGTTAAAATACAGATAGCGAATTGGTTTTAGTCTTAAAATGTTTCACAATTTATTATTTTTGGAAAAAGTTGATAAGAAATAATTTTTACAAGCAACATAATATAGATGCATATTTTACATAAAAGCAATGTCCGGCAAGGGAGGGTCCCAATTGCCTACAAATCGATTGCCTACAGTGTCGTTTGCCAACATCTCATTTGCCGACAATTCGTTTGCGCACAAAAATTATTGCCTACAAGTCGATTGCCTACAAGCACTATTGCGCACAATTAAAAAATTAAGAGACGAATGGACGTTTGCACACAAGATACTATTGCACACAAGCCGCATTGCACACATAATATTATTGCCTACAGATCGATTGCCTACAAGCACTATTGCGCACAATTAAAAAATTAAGAGAAGAATGGACGTTTGCACGCAAGACACTATTGCACACAAGCCGCATTGCACACATAATATTATTGCCTATACACATCGATTGTCTACAAGCTCTATTGCGCACAATTAAAAAATTAAGAGAAGAATGGACGTTTGCACACAAGATACTATTGCACACAAGCCGCATTGCACACATAATCAATAATCAATAATATGAGAAGAAGACATACTAAAACAAATTAATAGACAAAAGTGTGAATATAATTTTTATTTCTATAAACAACATATTTCGATTGATTTAAATAAATTAATGCAAGAACAGCAAACATGCTGTTACAATAGTGCCCGAAAATAGAATATTATTGTATAAATTATGTTACAACATACATGAATGTTTACAACTATCTCATTTCTGTAATGTATTATATAATAAAAATATAATGCAATGTGTTATTGCATTATATCTTTTATGCTATATCATGAAGCAGACGCATATTATTCCGTATAATGTATATTTGCTCTTTCAACTTTATATTGCACATCATTTCCTGGTTCTAGCATAGTGCATAAATAATTATAAACATTTATATCATCAACGTTACCTGCAATTTTATAGACGTAATAAAAGCGACAACTATTTAAAATGTTTCAATACCTTTGTTTTGCGTTGTGTTGCTAAGTTGTTATAAGATTGCTCATATATTTGCTTTGTTTTAAAAATAAGATTTTAAGAACATGATGACAGACATGGATCCAGCCAAGTCAATTCCTGCATTTTACGCCGGACAAAGTATATTTTTGACAGGTGCGACAGGATTTCTGGGTAAAGTGTTTGCCGAAAAAGTATTGCGGTCTTGTCCAGATGTGCGTAAAATATTTCTGTTAATACGTCCAAAGAAAGGACTAAATATTAACGAGAGACTCGAAAAAATGTTAAACATGCCGGTAAGTTTGATATAAAAAAAACTTTTTGTAACAACGCGGTTCTTTAAGATTGTTAAGATCTTTAATATATTACATCACATTTTAACGTATGATAAAAACGAATATTTTTCTAAGTCATTAACGGAAGTTGTTTTTGACATTAACATTTTGTAAATAGTATGTAATAGAATATAGAAATGCATTTAAAATAAAATAAAAAGAAATACCATAGAAATTATTGCAATTATTATAATAAATTGATTTTATAAATTATAACGTTTCTTCTATTTAAGTTATTTGACAAATTGCGCGAAGAACAATCTTCTAATTTCGAGAAATTAGTTCCGATTTGTGGCGATGTAAGTGAGAAGAGACTAGGTTTGTCGGCAGCAGACAGACAAATGTTGATTGAAAGAGTGTCTATAATAATACATGGAGCGGCAAGTGTGAGATTTAATGACACTTTAAAAAACGCCATATTTGCTAATACTAGAGCAACGAGAGATATTTGCATTTTAGCTCAAAGTATGAAGAATTTAAAAGTAAGTAATTTTTACTCAAAAAAAAAAAAAAAAAATAACAGTGTGGATTTGTATCTATGAGTAGGTAATGTATTGTATCACATGGTATACTTTAAATAATGTCTTGCGCAACAATTCATATTTTAATCATTTCTTCTAAGTA